GGATGTGTAAGATGCTAGGACGCAGCTAGCAGCCCACTGATATCACCTGTCGGCATCTTTTCAGGGTGTGGTCAGCTTCCCTGTGCAGGTGGGGAGGGAGGTGCCTGGCCCTTGGTCACCCTGTCACTAAGGCAGAGCAGGGATCTTTGAGCCTAGGCCAGTCTGAATCCAAAGCTCGTGCCTCACCCCGGTAGCCAATCCATGGAGGGCAGAAGGAGGGACAGATCTGACCATGTCACCCCCTGCTTAAAACTCTGCCAGGGTTTCCCACGTGCTCTGGGATAGACATCAAGGCTGACCAAGCCCTGTGCCCTCTGGCCCCTCTGCTTTCCAGCCTCTTCTCCCTCCCCGCCACCAACCAACCAACCAGTCAGGTGGCCTTCCAGTTCCTGGAGCGAGCCCGGAGCACAGCAGCCTCTCTCCCCCTCTCTGTTCCCCAGCAGCTCTCGCTGTCCCTGAAATGCTGTCCTCCAGCCTCAGCCGGCGTCCTCCCCTCCCCGCAGGTCTCAGCCTCCACCTGTGTCCGTCCACAGGCTGTTTCCTTGTGCAGCCCTTCCCCAGCTAAAGGCCAGATTGCTCCCCGTTACACACTCCCACATGCTGCTGAAAGTCTCCTGTCTAAGATGCCTCGAAAACTGCTAGTGTGATGTCTAGCTTCTCTGCTCAACTGGGAGCCCCCACCATGCCCCCAAACTAGCCTCTTGCCAGGTGATGAATGAAAGAGTAAAGAGAGGGCCCAAGTGACTAGTATCAGTCATGAAGACGAGGGGTAACGGAGGAGCGAGAGCACACCCTGGATCAGAAAAGATTAGCCCCTTCTAGTCCGAAATAAGACTAAAAACAACTGCCAGCCTTTGATGCTGGAGGTAGGTCCCTGGAAGAGCAAGTGGTCCCAGGTTCTGGAGAACTACAGTCCCTTTGCACGACATAGCCTCAGGTCAGGTAAGGGACAGCTGTCTGGGATCCCAGGTGGCGTCTATTCTTTGGGGACAAAGTGAATTTGCAAGAGAGGCAAAATGAAATTTCTGAGTTAAAGAGGTTTCCTCCACTACCCCACCGCGCACCCTTCGCTAGAGAAGAGGTTTTGTTTACTGGACCAGCTCCTGACTAGCTTGTGCGGAAAAGTGGGAAGAAGCTAAGAGGCCGAGCTGATCTAGATGACAGAGAGCTGTGGAGGTGCCCAAGGAGGTTTTCAGGAGCAGCTGCCGCATGGGAGAGAGGGATAGAGAGAGCTTTCTGACCCAGTCTGGCTGTGCATTAATAATTTCATCCCACTGGGGATGTTGCCAATGCTCAGGGTAAAGACTTGGGCCACTTTTAGTTCTTTTGCGGTTTGCCGGACTATTGTTTGGATGTGAGTGGCTGGGCATTGAACGTCGCATTGGGGCTCTATCTGCGGCATGTATAGAATGAGGGGCCTTGAGGATGTGGGCAGGGTGCAAGGGCAATCATGCGGCCTCATCCTCACCATTAATTTAAAAAGTCTAAAAAGTAGGAGAGCGTCTCCTAGTCCTGAATCATATTTCTCAAGTTGCATCCCTGAGTCTTGCAGCTGAACACACTTGACTGCCCAGAGAGCTTGGGCTGAGCTGGTTCCCCCCACGGCCTCTCCTAGCATCAGCCTCAGAGCCGAGAGCCGTGCCATCCAGGGGACAGCCAGCCTGAACCATAATGTGTGAAGAAATTCTCCAATAGGCTCTTCCTTATTTATTAGATTCCAGATACATGGGACCAGGACTGGAGAATCCTCGGGTGTTGCATTTACAGGGGGGTCTTTGGGAGAACACATACAGAGGAAGAAATTTGTACAGGTGGGGGATGCAAGGAGGGGCTGCCATTTAAAAAATATATATACATCTTAAGAAGCCATTCCAGCCACATTATCATTATTAGAAAATAAAACAATCTTTCCACGCAGTGCTTTTCTTTGGTGCTGTTCCGTGGGCATGGGCCCCTCTGTCTTCTTGTTACAGGTTTGTCACCACTCCCCAAGGATACTCCCCACCTCTATCTGCACAGGGGGAGGAGAGAGTCTGGAGGGAAGGGTGGCCCCTGACTTAGGGGTGCGTGCAGATTCCAGCTCCTCCAAGGTCGTGCTGTGGCCTCCCAGCCCACACCCCACTCTGGTTTTGAGAGCCTCCCACTGGGCTCCTCAATTGTGCCCTGGGAAATAACTGGTTTCCTGTATGTAAAACCCGGGGCCACCATCCAGGTTCATGTGTGACATGACCATCCCGGAAGCTTTAACAAGGGTGGGGACACGGGAACCAAACAAAACCCAGCCGATATCAGCTTCTCCATGGTTGGATTTTTTACACTTTATTTCTTGGTTCATGTCAATGACCTGTAGCATGAGAATACAACTGAGAAGGGCTATTTCCACTTTACAGGTTTTCCCGGAACAGCAGGTTTGGGGGTAAACTTGCATTCTGTCCTATTTTGGGGGGGCTGGGTGTCCCTAAACTCTCACCTCACCATCCTGCACTAAGCCAGGGCCACCCTCTTTCCAGGGAGGTCCCAGGGCCAGTGAGGCTTCCAAGAAGCTGGCCCCTAAACTTGCTCTCTGAAGGTCAATGGCTCCATCAAGTGCGCCGCAGGGCCCTCCCAGTGAGTAGGGTTCCCCTTGTTGCTGATATGCTTCTCGTTGCCCCAAGAGTTTAAGTGTAAGAGCAGCAGCATCTCATTGGCACTAGCTTTCAGGGCCACTGGCCCCTTTGCTGGAAAGGGGCTCTGGGTGCAGAAGGCAGAACTGCCCTGGGTACAAACCCCCGCCCACTCCGAGCCAGTTGCTGCACCGTTAGCCAGAGAGGCTTTTGAAACGATGGACTGCAGATGCCAGCAGGACACAGCCCCGCCATGCCAGGCGGGACGGTCCTCATGCTCGAGCAGGAAGTGATGCTGCACAGAGCAGGGTGCCCAGGTGAGGAGATGCCACCCTCTGCCCACCTCAAGAACACAGCACAGTGAGAGGCAGACCCCAATCTCTCACTGGGAGTTCTCCAGTTCAGACCTCAGGGCACAGCCCCTAACAGTTAAGTTAGACTTGATGCTGAGGAGGTGCCCATGTGTCCACCCAGGGACAATAGGGACGCACACAGAGCTAGGGATGGAGCATCCTGGAGGCTAATTCCAATGCTGTCAGGTGAATGTGGCCTTGGATTTCCCACAACCAAAGGGGAGTGGAGGGGAGTGCCTGTCACTGGTCTGTGAGGTCCCTTGGAACCACTGACATTTCCTGTGTGAGGCCATCAGGTTCTAGCCAACCCTCCTGCCTGGAGAACTGGTGTCTGTGTATGGAGAGATGGGAGGCTGAACCAGCAGCAGCCTTAGAAAACCATGAGGTTGTGGGAGAGGGCACCTGGCCGCCTGGCGTCCCAGCAATGGGCGGGTGGGATCTGCCTGCCTCTCCCCATGATGGGAGGTTGGGCTAGAATGAGTGTGGATTCCCCCAGAAAAGTGTCCCAGGTGGGGTGGCTCTGATGTCTGCTTCAGAAGGCAGCTGCTTGGAAGGGCATCTTCCATCACGCCCAATGCCCTTCATCCTCTGGAGATCTCTAAGCTGCCCAGCCACCTATGCACACCAGATGGGGTTCAGAGCTGTCCCTCCCCCAAGAGGGTTATAACGGACTTTCACTGCCACCCAGGTGACCAACTGTCCCCACTTGCCCAGACTGAGGGGTTTCCTGGGACACAGGACTTTCAGTGCTAAAACCAGGAACATCCTGGGCAAATGGGGGTGTTTGGCCACCTGGCATAGCAGCAAGGGGGCTGGCATGGTTAGGCCAGAGAGCTGGGCCCTCCCAGGGTGCCACACCTTAGTCAGAGGGCGACAGGAGCCACCTCTCCTGTGGCAACAGTTCACCCAGCCCTTTGGAATGCAGGGAGGGGTGTCCTGCTGTCCAATGCGCCGGAACCAGCACGATCAGAGAGGCTGGTGGCCTCCATGGAGCTCCCTGTCTTCAGGTTTCCCTGCCGCCTTATGTCTGCTTCTGGGCTTTTCTGTGCTTAGCAAAGATTGGTTTGGGCCTCTCCGTATCCTGCCTGGGTCCTCCCAGGACTGAGAGCCTAGAATGGGGCCAGGGTCTTGCACAGCTCCCATTTCCCACAGACCACCTGCTCTGGACCTGCCCTGAAGGTTGACAGAGAGGAAAGCGAGGAGAATGGGGGGCCCCGGGAGCTCCTCTGTGAGCCAGCACCGTTCCAGCTGCGGGCCCTGGTCACCTTGGCTGGCTGAAGGATGGTCTGAGTGAGCTCTGAGGAGGGGGCAGGAAGTAGCAGGGACTCCTGGGGGACAAGAGGAGGAAGAGGGTGGGCAGGTGAGGGGCACCAAGGGCTGGGGTGCCCAGGAAAATGCGTGAGTTCTAGCAGCTCCTCCCCTGCTGGCGAGTCCCTGCTGGGAGCTGGGTGTGCTGGAGCCGAGGGGAACGTGGAAGGAGGGCCGGCAGGTCTGCGGAAGGCGCAGGGCCTCCTAAGGGACACGGGGAACCTCAGAGCAGGCAGGGCCTCTGGGAGCAAGTCCCTGCCCTCTGAGAAAGGAGCGCCTCCAGGCGGTACCCAGCCTGAGTGTGCTGGAGTCCTGGGTGCTGGCACTGCCTGCCAGGCCAGGGGTGGGGGAGGGTGGGGCCAGAAAATGTCTCAGCTGCCTCTTGGAGGTTTGGTGGGGAGAGGGGGCCCTTCTTCGGTGGTCTCCAGTCTCAGGGAATCAGCCCTGGCCCAGGCCTCAGCACTGCCCACGGAGAAGGAAAAATATACCAAAGAAAAAGCCAGTTACCGATGAGCCCCACGCCCTGCCCTCCCATTCCCATTCCCCTTCCCCACAGCACCCAGGACTCTGCACCCAGGACTCTGCACCCAGCCTGGAGGCAGGAAGCCCCTTCTTCTGGGACTGCTCATGGCCATGACACAGGGCTCGTGGGTCGAAGCTGGTGGCTGTGGAGGTCTCTGCATCCTGCTGGCCGTTGGTCTGTCCACAGGCAGCAGTGGGTCTGTGTGCCGGGCCGTCAGACCTTGGCCTCCAGCATCTCCAGGAAGAGTTTGTGCATGGGCACCTTGCCCTGCAGTTTGACGCTGTAGAAGTGCTGCACGGCCTTGGCTGCCGTCTGCCGCAGCAGGGGCAGAGTCAGCAGCAGCTGGCCCGTCCTCCGCGGCTCCGCGTGGCGCTGGCTCAGCTCGTAGTCCTGCAGAGCCTCGTGCAGCAGGTCCTGCAGCTTCTGGACCGCCTCCAGATCCTCGATGTACATGGAATCTGTGGGCACAGGGTAAGTATCAGGGGCCCTGGGGGGAGAGCGCCACCATGGGGCATGGGGCCCTTAGGCTCTGCTTTGGGGCCGTCCAAATCCTTACTTTAGGGAGAGAGAAATCAAGGCTCAGAGAGGTTGGGCTGCCAGTCTGAGGTCACAGAGGCCAATGACAGAGCTAGGGGTTAGACCCAGGGAGAGATCTCTACCTATGGAGGACATTTCTTGAGAAACCACCAGAGATAGAAGTGGAGACCCTGAAGGGCTTGAACAGGAACAGACCTGTAATTGGCCTGCAGGTGCTGGGTGGACTCTGGAGTCAGACAGGTGGAGGTAGCATCCTGAGTCCCTCACTTGCTAGCTGTGTGACTTTAGGTGAGTTATTTAACTTCTCTGTGCCCCATTTTCCTCATTTGTGAAATGAGATAATAGCCATACCTACCTCAAGAGGTTAAATGAGTTAACACAGGTCAAGGGCTTAAAACAGTACAAAGTAAGTGCCCGGCTAGTGGTATCATCACCATCACCATCACCATCACCACCACCATCATCATCATTACCACAATCATCACCACCATCAACACCACTACCACCATCATCACCATCATCATCACTATCACCACCACCATCACCATCATCACCATCACCACCATCATTACAACTACCACCATCATCACTATCACCAACATCATCACCATCATCATCATTAACATCAGCACCATCACCACCATCATCACCATCATCATCACCATCACCACCATCATTACAACTACCACCATCATCACCATCACCACCATCATTACAACTACCACCATCATCACTATCACCACCATCATCATCACCACCATCATCATCACCAGCATCGTCACTAATGCTGTTGCTGCTGCTGCCAGGCACCAGCCTAAGCCTTCAGTGCAGTCGCTAACCTTACAGAATGCTGGTTTACGGACACAGATAAAGAGGCTGAGCTGTGTCTGGGTGGCCTGTGGCAGGGAACATGAGATAGCATGGCTGGACACATGGGACACGATGATGAAGGTAGCTGTTGGAAGGGACCCTTGCAATCTAAAATCTTGGGGAGGGCTTTGGACTTAGCCCATGAATTGGGGGTTCAAATAAAATTTACCTAAATGTCAGCAGGGCAGGAGGTGCCCACTGATAGTTGGGTTACAGTTAGGTCTGAGCTGAAGCAAAGGGAATCTCCTGGACCCCATTCCATGGCCTCAGGGAAAATAACCAGCCTTCTTCTGGTGTTCCTTAAAGAGCCTGAGCCACCACCCTGAACTGCAGCACCCAGTGCCTGCCAAAGGTGGGAGAGGAAGGGAGCATGTGAATCAAGTGAGCTTGAAGCTCTGAGTGGGTCTCCAAGGAAGGCTGGGCAAGTTTCCTGAAATACTCAAAGGAGCGGGGCAATTCCTTTGCATGTTGGGCTGGTTTAGATGCCAGACTGCTGAGGGCCACTGTACCAACCAGCTGACACCAATGACTGCCCCCTGACCTTCTGGGTCCACACTCAGCCTGTGCCTTCAAGGGTCCTGCCTCTTTCTCTTGGAAGGAGAGCAGTAGGATGAGCTAGATAAGACTGAAAGCCTTAGATGCTGTGTGGCTTTGGCCAGGTTACTTAGGCTCTCTGAGACTGTTTCCTGGTCTGTAAAATGGAGCAAACAAGAGTGCACACCTCACGGAATGGTACTGAGGGTTAAATGAAATAGCACATTACCAGGCACTTAGTAAGCACCTAATAAATGTTATCATCATTATTGTGAGGACTCAAACTAGGGGCAAGCTGGGATGTTACTAGCCCGATACTCAAGACGCCTCCACATTCTTCTGCTCCTTGAAACCAAGGCAGTGAGGACTCCTTTGTCAGTTGCAGAGGAAGCAACTGTTTATAGGGGCTGGACCCTGTAAGGCTGGGACCTGGCCATCCAGGCTCCTTGCCTCCTGCCAGCTTCATCTCCCCATCCCCCCACCCTCCCCAAGGAGGCCAAAATTGGCAGCTGCCTTTGACCAAAAATGAAATAAAATAACATTGCAAGATTAATTTCTTTGCAATCCATCAGCGCGTCTGTATCGATGGCATTGATAAACTGTTAATTACAAAATCAATGGCTATGATTTTTTTCTGCTGTCAGGGAGCCTTGGAGAGGGCGGGACACGGGGTGAAAGTCAGCCAGCGGGCTCCCAAGGGGCCATGGTTTGGGACCACAGCCTGTCTCTGATGTGCTTCACCCTCCTGCCTAGCGTCAGCCCCAGGTCACATCTGAATGGTCCTGTCCTGTCCACTCAACCTCAGCAGTAGCACCCACAGTGGCCCTTGGGGCTGCCCCCAGGACCATGGCAACGCTCTCCAAGCCCCTGTCTCTCCTCCAGCTAACACTCTGTCTGCCTGGTGACTTTCCTGCTTTGCTGCTGGGGATAGGTCACTATCGCGCTCCCCCCATCCTTCATGGCTCCCTATACTGACCCTACACAACCCAACCCCTTCACAGCCTGAGAGCCTCTATGACCCCAAACTGCTTTTCTAGCCTAACCCCCAAACAGGCCTGTTGTCTCCCCATTTCTGCCTGCAGCTAATGGCTCCACTGTGCAGCCAGGGCCTTGAGCCTCACAAACTCCTTCTCTGCCTTGAGCTTCTCATACCTGCAGGATGGCTTGGTAGATGCCACTGGATGCTAGTGGAAGTTCCTGAAGGGCTCATGTCACCAAACCACCGTGGGTCCTCAGGTGGTGTGTGTGCGCATGTGTGCATATCCGTGTATGTGTATATGTGTATGTTTGTGTGCATGTGTGAGTATCTGTAAGTGTGCATGCATGTCTGTGTGTCTGTATGCACAGTTACAGACACACAAGGTGAGAGCAGCTGGCCGGGCTAAAGAGGTTTCTGGAAGACCTTGCAGCGTGGTGTTGAGGGGTGGGATGAAGGTGGCCATTGAATGGCCTCCCCCCTTCACTCTCTCCTCCTAGCTGGGGTGAGCTTGAGCTCAAGGTCTGCTATGAAGTGGTCAGGAGTGCCCTCCAAGGCCTGCCAGCCCTGCCGTCTCACTGTGATCGCCCTATGTCTTCTGCTTCATAGTGCCCCTCCCCTCCTGTGCCCATTCACACTCCCAGCCCCTTCGCAACGCTGTGTAAGATGCTGCTCTGAACAGGTGAGCACAAGAGATTGTGAGGGTGGCGACACTATGTATGGCACGTTATGACNCTGAACAGGTGAGCACAAGAGATTGTGAGGGTGGCGACACTATGTATGGCAGTATGGAGATCTGTTGTTACGCATTTGTCAAAACCTCTAGTCCTGTATAAACGCAGAGTAAAAACCCTGATGGCAACCAGGGACTTTTGTTAATAAATGTATCAATATTGGCTCATTAATTGTAACAAATTAGCACACTAATGCAAGATGTTCATAATAGAGGGAACTGCGTACAGGGGTAGGGGGTATATGGAACTTATATATCATCTGCTTATTCTGTCAACTTAAAACTGTGGGGTAAGTAACCCTCCTGGCAAGGCAGGTGAGGGTGAGTCTCTGGCGAAGGGGACAACTGTGAGCTGTCAGCAGCAAAACCCAGCAGCAGAGCCCGCAGGCATGGACCCAGGAAAGGTGGTCTGAGGGGGCATCAGCACTGTCCTCTGCGTTCTCTATGAAGCCATTTGTCAGGGGGACCCACTGACCCGGTTAGCCAAGGACTGAGGTTTCCTGGGCTATGGGACTTTCAGGAAAAGTGTAACAGTATCAAGCAAACCAGTTGGTTGCCCTATTTGTACTGTCTGCATCTGGGAGCCAGCTCTCCCTCTTCTGTATGCTGATGATGCTTTGTTTCCTCTAATATTAATACTAATGATAATAATTAATATTTATTGAACATTTCCTCCAGGCCAGGCACTGGGCTAAGCGCTTTATCTTCAGTCGATCATTTCATACAAAAGTGCTTGCAGGAGGTACTGGGATGTCCCTCAGCACACAAGGACAGAGTTAAGGAGGATTGCCAACGTGTCCAAGGTCACACTGCCACCAAAGATCAGAGCTAGAATTTGAACTTGGGTCCATCTGCGCCAGACCTGAGCAGTAACCCTGCCGTCTTGCAGCAGAATTACACTGTGTGCTTGCTGAAGCTCTGTCTTTGGGACAGGGACCCAAGCCTTTCTCTTCCTTCTGCATCTGACGTGGTACCCTGCACAGGGTGGACACCAAGTGTAGGCACAGATTAGATTAAATTTAAGCTCATTCTTCTATGCCAGCCCTTCTTCCCAGAAGCTGGTGGGAGCTAAAGAAATGGAGTGAGGTCTCCTTTTGAAAGCCAGACTAAATAACTCAGTTGGGAAGATTTTCTCTCTTGGACCCAAGCAGTTTGATTGTGAGATTCAAGCAATGGGCATAAGCTCAGGTTGACTTTTTGGAATCATAGGACCTTGGTTTGACTCGTAGCTCTGTGTGACCCTGGACAGTTTGCTTCGCCTTTCAAAGCCTCAGTTTCTACATCTGTAAAATGGGGTTAAAATAAGAACTTTGCTCACAGAGTCGTTTGTAAGAATAAGTTCATAGCTAATTTATTTAACAGGTTGAGGCCCTATTATGGGCCAGGTATGTTATAAGCATAATATAATTATATACAAATAAATCCCTCCCATAGACTTGTGGGGTAGAGGCTGTTTATTATAGTTTCCATTTTACTGATGAACAAACTGAGGCACAGAGTGAAGCAGCCTGCCCAAGCGAAAGCAGCAGGATTTGGCTCTTAGTAAGCCGGCTCTAAAACCTGTGTCGTTAACCAGCTGCTGGTCTGGAGACCAAGGGCCCAGCGCAGTGCCCTGCAAATCAGCACTTAGGAAATACTCAGCCAGTGCCGGCCTCCATCGCCAGCCTTTTACACCCAGACCACCTCTGCACAGTCTTTGGTGACCAGGAGCTGCAGCACCTTCACCCCACCCCACCCCCAGGCCTCAGAGGGATGCTCCCTGGGGCCTGAGAGATGCCTCAAAGCCCCCCGTGGGCCCCACACTCGCCATTACCTGAGTTGGCCAGGGCCAGGGCCTTGAGCGTCACAAACTCCTCCTTCTCGACCTTGAGCTTCTTGTACCTGCGCACGAGCTGCAGGATGGCCCGGTACAGCTCCAGCAGCCCCGCGAGGCGCGAGTGCTCCTCGTCCATGATGTAGTCCTCGGCGTACACCAGCTTGTCGTCGTAGGGCAGCGAGCGGTACACAATGCCCAGGATGAGGATCTCCATCCAGGCGCTCTGCAGCAGGCTCATCTGGTCCCCCAGGGACAGG